ATTGGGGTTGGGGTAGACTAGCCCAGGAGGGTATATCAGGCACCAGATAATAATGATGAAGGCAAAACAAGGGAGGGAAAGATAGAGCAGGGAGATGAAGACCACATTAAGAGTAACATAATCTGGCCCAAGATCAACCTTATTTATAGCTGAGAGGCAGACACAGCCTGCCACTGGGTTGAAATTCTAGAAAAATCGCATTAATTGGCTTTCCACAGAGAAAGGAACTGGGTCTGGATGAAAACACATGCTTATCCTTCAAAGAGAAGCTCTCATGATTTGGTGTGACTTGGTGAGAATCTGCTGTCCATATCCCAAGTCTAAAGGTCCAAGCTGGCATAGATCAGGGAGAAGATCCTCTCTATTCCAGTCTCCTCCAATAGAGGATTCTGAATGCAAACATCACTGTAGGCTTTTGAGCAACACGCAGACCTAAGCAACTTACCTCAATATGTTCTGAGACCATTATACACAATTCTTTTTTTTTTTTTTTGGCTAGACAATGGGGTTAAGTGACTTGCCCAGGGTCACACAGCTAGTAAGCATTGTGTTGAGGCTGGATTTGAACTCAGGTCCTTTTGAATCCAGGGCCGGCGCTCTATCCACTGCGCCACCTAGCTGCCCCCACAATTCTTTATTGAACCAATGAGGCAGTTGTTCATTATTTAAGAAGCAGTCAGGGCCGCTGGGGCTGATAGGATGTTCACGACCACGCTGCTTTGGACCAGAAAGAGAAAAGTAACACACTTTGAAAATGCTCAGGATTCCTGACTCCAGGCTCTTCTGCATCTTTGAGGGTTCCTTTCACACTCCTCCTGGTGACTTTCCCTAAGGAATGGAGTGTTAATTAGCACGGGGTAAGCTAAGCTTTGCCCCATGGTGCTGACATCTGCTGTGCAAAACATCCCTCCACCAGGCATTTGTCTTACACGTGTCCTTATTTCTGTCTAATGTACCACCTTCTAGTCTCCTGGTAGCCTCAGAGCCTCTCTCCTAGTCTCTTCTAGGCTGATACGAACTATTTGTGCTCAATCTGTGGTAGAGCGTGCTGAGCTCATATTGGTCTGATTAGCTGTATCTGGACATACTGTACGTTGACTCCAACATAGTGATGTCGTTTTGGTCTTCTTCGACCACAGGGACTACAGCCTTCCAACCAACTTCTTTGTTTTCCTCAACTCTTCACCCTCCCGTCAACCCTCATTTCCAGTCATTTGCGAGACCTCGATGTTTCTTTTGAAATGTTATTTTGTCTTCAGTCCTAAATTCTCTCCTTCCCTCCATCCCACATTGAAAAGACAAGAAATACAATACCAATTACACATGTGAAGTCAGGAAAAGCATTTCCACATTAGCCATGTTCCAAGAAAGAAAGATGCTTCTGTCTACACTTTGAGCCCATCAGTTCTCCATCTAGAGGTGGACGGCATTTTTCATGGTGAGTCCTTTGTAGTTATGGTGGATCATCATATCGATCAAAGTGGCTAAGACTTTCATACCTCTCCAGTATTACTGTTACTGTATAAGTTGTTCTGATTCTGTTACTTCCCTTTACATCAATTCATACAAATCTCCCCAGGCTTTTCCGAAACCATCTCCTTCATCATTTCTTATGGCACAGTAGTATTCCATTACATTCATATACCACAACTTGTTCAGCCATTCTCAAATGGATGGGCATCCCCTCAATTTCCAATTATTTGTCACCGCAAAAAAAGCTGCTATAATTATTTTGGTATGTGGATCTTTTTCTTTTTTCTCTGACCTAGTTGGGATATAGATCTAACAGTAATATTCTTTCAATTTCTATTTTACCCTCTGGTTCTAGAATATCAGGGCAGTTTTCCTTGATAATTTCTTGAAAAATGACGTCTAAGCTGTTATTCGATCATGGCTTTCAGGTAGTCCAATAATTTTAAAATGATCTCTGCTGGATCTATTTTCTAGGTCAGTTGTTTTTCCAATGAGATATTTCACATTGTCTTCTATTTTTTCATTCTTTTGGTTTTGTTTTACAATGTCTTGATTTCTCCTAAAGTCACTAGCTTCCATTTACGCCATTCTAATTTTTAAGGAAGTATTTTCTTCAGTGAGCTTTTGGACTTTCTTTTCCACTTGGCCAATTCTGCTTTTTAAGACATTATCTTTATTGGCTTTTTGAACCTCTTTTGCCATTTGGGTTAGGCTATTTTTTAAGCTGTTATTTTCTTCAGTATTTTTTTGGGTCTCCTTTAGCAAGCTGTTGACTTTTTTTAATAATTTTCTTGCATCATTCTCATTTCTCTTCTCATTTTTCCTCTACTTTTCTTACTTGCTTCTCAAACTCCTTTTTGAGCTCTTCCATGGCCTGGGACTGATTCATGATTTTCTTGGAGGTTTTCGATGTAGGAGCTTTGACTTTGTTGTCTTCTTCTGGTCGTATGTTTTGATCTTCTTTGTCACCGAAGAAAGAGTCTATGGTCTGATTTTTTTTGCACAGTTTGCTCATGTTCTCAGGCGATTACTTGAGTTTTAAACTCTTTGTTAAGGTAGGGGTCTGCTTCCAGTGTGTAGGATGTACCGTCCCAAGCTTAGGGGGTTTTGTGCAGCTGTTTTCAGAGATATTTCTGGGGACCTGTAAATTTTCAGTTCTTCCAAGGTGGTACAATCAAGGGTGAGGTGTTTACTCCTTTCCTGGCCTGTGCTGTGGTCTATGAGTACTCTATTTTACACAAGTACTCTTTTTTACCTTGGAACTGTGAGGAGGATTCCCTTTCCACCTCCTCTACAAGTCCCACCATACCAGTGCTCCTTCTCGCCCCAGGATCACCACCCAGAACAATGACCTAGATCCAAGCACTGGCAAAGGAAGAGATTCCTGCTTCAGTACCGGTAAAGAGATTCCTGCAATCCCCTTCTGATCAGCCACTCAATTCCCCCTCAATCTGTGGGCCAAGAGCTCTGAAAACAGCCACCACCCTGGAGCTGTGCCAGGACTGGAGCTGGGTTGGAGCTTCTCTCTCACCATGGTCACAGACCTTTCCTACTGACCTTCTAAGTTGTCTTTGGCATTTGTGGGTTGAGAAGTCTAGAAACTGCCACAGCTGCCTGTGATTCAGGCTTACTCCAGGTTGCCTTAGGCCTGGTCTTTGCCTGCACCCCATGCTGAACTGTGCTCCTCTCCCAGCCCGGTGCAATAGACCTTTCCAATCAGCCATGCGGGTTGTCTTGGGCTGGAAATTTGTTTCACTCTGTCTTTTTGTGGGTTCTGCTGCTCTAGAATTTGTTTAGAGTCATTTTTTACAGGTATTTGGATGGGTTTGGGGGAGAGCTCATGCAAGTCATTGCTTTTACTCCGCCAACTTGGCTCTGCCCCTCCCTGACAGTGATATTGCTGGGTCAAAGGGTATGCAAAGTTTTATAGCTTTCTGGGCATAGTTCCAAATTGCTCCCCAGAATGGTTTGATCAATTCATAACTCTATCAGCAATGCAATAATGTCCCTGTTTTCTCACGTGTCCACCAACATTTGTTATTTTCCTTTTCTGCATTTTCTTAGCCAATCTGATAGGTATGAGGTGGCACCTTAGAGTTGTTTTGACTTGCAATTCTCTAATTGATTTAGTGCAGTTTTTGAGATGGCTATTGATAGCTTTGATTTTTTCCTGTGAAAATTGTTTATATCCCTTGACCATTTATCATTTGGGGAATGGATCCTATTCTTATGAATTTGATTTAATTCCCTATATATTTGAGAAATGAGGTCTTTATCAGAGAAACTTGCTGCAAAGATTTTTGCCCCAGTTTCCTGCTTTTCTTCTAATTTTGGCTGCATTGGTTTTGTTTGTCTGAAAACTTAAATTTTATGTAATCAGAATTATCCATTTTACCTTCCGTGAATCTGTATATCTCTTTGTCTAGTCATGAACTCTTCCCCTATCCATAGATCTAACAGGCAATTTCTCTCATTCCACTCATTTGTTTATATCACTCTTTATGTCTAAATCAAGCACCCATTCTGAGCTTATGTTGGTATATAGTGTGGGATGTTGGTCTATATCTACTTTCTGCTTGACTACTTTCCAGTCTTTGCAGCAGTTTTTTTCTCCCCAAATGGGGAGTTTTCACCTCAGTAGCTGGGATATTTGGGTTTGTCAAATACTAGGTCACTGTGCTCGTTTGCTTCTGTATGTTGTACGCCTGTTCTGTTCTGTTCCAATGGTCAGCCATTCCATTTCTTGTCAAGTCCCAGATTGTTCTGATGATTACTGATTTGTTGTATAGTTTGAGATGTGGTGTGCCCGACCTTGGATCTGACTTCTTCACTCTTGACTCACACAGATGCCGCTGTGGTTCTAGTTCTTCTCACATCTCACTGGCCTCCTAAACGGTTCTCCCTGACTTCAATGCTTTCATTCTCCACATGGTTGCCAAAGTGATTGATTTTCCTGAAGCAGAGCTCTCACTGTGTCCCTCTCCCACTCAATGAACGCTAGCAGCCCCTTATTGCCTATAAGATTGAATATGAACTCCGACTGAGCTTTGAAAGACCCCCACAACACTCTGTTATCCAGCCCAAGGGACTTTCTCGTTGCTCCTTACGTTTTGATGGCCAAAAGTTACCTATTAAGTTGGGTTTTACTGGCTGTATTACTTTCTCAAAGACCAAGCCTTAAACCCAGTTCACTCTGGATCTCTTGGATTGGACAACAGTAGGCCCAAGCACCACTTAATGGTTATTTTTTGGGCCCTACAGGATCAGAGTGAATGTAAATAGTAACTGTTTCTCTTTTGGCTAGCAACCTTGAGGGTCTTCCCCTCCTAGTTTGATTTTTTTTTTTTATTAAAGGGGCCATCCCTTAGTACACTTCTTAAAGAGACCTGTTCGCTGAATGGGGGTTGCCTCTCTCAAAGTGAGAACGTGAAAAGACCTTAGTTTAAAAGGGCCAAGGTCTCCAACTGCATCCTGGGCCATCTCCAGTCGTCCTGATGAGTATCTAGCCACTGGACCCAGCTGGCTCTGGAGGAGAAAGTGAGGCTGGTGATCTTGCACAGCCTTCCCTCACTCAAATCAAAGCCAACTGCAAGTCATGTCGTCGTCTCCCTGATGTCTTGGTCTTCTTTGAGAATGAAGGACAAACCATACAACCACAACATGGTACTCCATCTCCTTTTCCCTTTTCCATTTTTTGCACTGGCTATCCCCCTTAGCTAGCAAGCATGCCCTATTCACTCTGCTTCACTTCCTCTGGCGACACCGCTTTCTACAATAAGCTTTTTTTGATCCCTGGAACAGCTAGTGCCCGCCTTCCCAAACTATTTCATATTTAGGTGCATTCATTCTGTGTCTAGTTAGAATTGTACTTATCTACCCCAGTAGGATGTAAGCTCTTCACAAGCAAAAATTATTTTATTCTTTGCTGTTGTGCCCCTAGAGCTTGGCATACAGTAGGCAATTTATAAATGTTTACTGATTAATGGGTGAAAGGGAAGTAAACCAGGGCTTCTGCTCTTGGTTCTTTGCTAACTGGCCCTAGACGACAGCCATCCCCAGGGTCTCCTCACCATGGAACACTTCTCCTAGGCCTGTCTTTCTTTCCCACCTCCACAGGTATGAACACCAGACCACCTACTCCCTGTCCTCAGGCCACTCAGGCCACCCTATCAGGGGTGCATTGCCCCTGGTGCTGGCACCACCCAAATCTTCTTTTTAGGCCTTTTCAGCTCTTTTTGATCCCAGGTGGGGACCCTACAAATGTTCTATCATAGCTGTACCAAGTCAAGTCCATGAACATTTACTAAGCACCTACTCTGTGCCAGGCACTGTGCTAAGCAGTAGCAATCCAAGCAGAGGCAAGATAGCCCCTGCCCAGAAGGAGCTGTTGGCCATTGGAGAGAGGGAGCCCAGAGCTCTTTGTCTGTGCCTGTGTAAAGTGCCCCCGATGGAGCTGTCAGAGAGACCTTTGACAGGGGGCCTAGCTTGCTCCCTGGGGCCCTGGGGCTTTTGGGGGCCCGAGTTCTGGAAAATGCGGGTAGAGAAAAGAGCGGCTGTGAAGAAGAACTTCGGGGTGTGTGTGTGTGTGTGTGCGTCTGTGTGTGCACGTGTACACATGTTTGTCGTTTGTGTCTTGTCTGTATTACATTGTGTGCATCTTATGTGTAGGTATGTTGTGTGTCTACGTGTTGTGTATGTTAGGGATTGTACTTGTATGTTGTATCTATTGTGTATGTTACATGTATATTGTGTTACATGTGCTATTTGTATTTTTTGTGTATGTGTTGGGTTGTATACATGTTGTATATACATGTTGAATGTTTTGTATGTGCGTTTTGTGTGTACATGTGTACACTGTTTATGTGTTGTGTATATGTGTGGTGTTTGTGGTATGGGTACATATTATGTTGTGTTTAGTGTATGGATATGCTGTCTTATGTACATTGTATTACATATGTGTTGTATTGCTGTAGGTTGGTGTGTGGTATGCATGTGTACATTGCTGTGTATTTGTGTGTCATGTGTATTGTGTATGTGTAAATGGCTATTGTATCTATGTGTGTGTTGTATGTATACAAGTTACATGGTGGTGTGTACTCTGTGGGTTTATTATGCTATGTGCTATGTATTTGTGTTGTGTATAGTTATGTGGCTTGTGTGTATATAGATGTGTTGTGTTTTGTTGTGTGCGTATGTTGCTGTGTGCATGCTATTTGCATGTGCATGTGTGCTATGTCTGTTGTGTGTATGGGTATGCAGGCTGTGTGTTGTGCATGTCTGTTGTGTCTGTGTTGTATGTATGCTACACGTCTGTATGTTCTGTGTGGACGCTCTGTATGTATGTGCTGTACTGTGCTGCACGTCTGTGCATGTGTGTGCTGCGTCTGTGTAAGCATGCCGAGGAGGGAAGGGGTGGGGTGGCGCTGAACTCCACAGCCTGTAAGCTTTTGCTCCAGGACTCCTTTGATCAGCACCCCAAACAGAGTTCTCACAGAGGACACCGCCTGCTGGTCAGGTTATCCAGGGTGGGGAACCTGTGGCCTCAAGGCCACTTGTGACCTTCTAAGTCCTCGGGTGCGGCCTTTTGACAGAGTCCAAGTTTTCCAGAACAAACCCTTTTATGAAGGGGATTTGTTCTGGAAGTTTGGATTCAGTCAAAGGGCCATACTTGAGGACCTAGAGGGCCACATGTGGCCTCGAGGTCACAGGTTCCTTACCCCTGGCTGTCTGCGCTGGGCTTTTGCCTGGAGATAGGCCCTCCTCTCGTCTCCACCGTCTGGAACGTAGGACAGGAAGACAGCAGCAGCAGCAGCAGCAGCAAGAGTGTCTCTGGGCACTTGGTTCCCCCAGTATATAGATGCCGAGCTTGTGTCCTTGGGCAGATGCTGGGCCAATGAGACTCTCACCTTCTGGGGCCAGTGAGTTTTTTCAGGCCGGGCGGGGTCCAAGCCCCAAGAGTCGGGCAGTCCGTTACAGTGCGCCTGACACCCTCTTCCAAAGCCCAAATCGAGATACAAGATCCAGATCCTCCTCAGGGTGATTTCTTCTGTACCCACAGTGCAGGGCCCACGGTCGTCCTTGGCCACAGCCTCTCCTACCTCCCACAACAGTGAACAAAGTCCTTGGCACAGGGTGGGCACTCAGTGAATGGCTACGTAAGTGAGTGATGAATGAATGAATGAATGAATGTGCCAAGCACTGGGCCAGGCTAATGGAACAAATGGGAAAGCAGAGGACTGAAAAGCTGAGCATGGGTTAAGGTGCCACAGAAAACAGTCACTCACCAGAGTTTTTGTGCCTTTTTTCCCAGCTGCTGCTGAAAGAGATTGGGAAATCATAAAGTGGAAAGAGGAGAATCTGGATCTGTGTGGAGTGCCTGGCACAAGTGATAGCATGCCCATGTTGTAGATGAGGAGCCACATGTGGCCTGAAGGTCGAAGATCCCCCACCCCTGGTCTTGCCCATGGGCACCTACGAGCCTGGAGCTGAACCCAGGGCTCTTGTCTTCAAATCCATCTCATTTCCCCGCAGGTCCCACTGTGACTTGCTCCCCCTCCTCCCATCCCCCTCATCTGCACATTCCTTTTTGGCCTTACCCATGTCCAGGTGCCGCCCGCTTCAGTTCCTCAGGACACATCTGGGGCACAGAGTAACTGGGAGAGGACACAAGACACAGACACAGCACCATGCTCCCCCAATAAAATGGAGGGTGGGGGGCAGGAGGCCCGAGGGCAGGCAGGGATGTTTTTTGTGACTCCAGAGCTGGGTAAGGATTAAGTGACTAGACGGTGAGGCCCCTGCCTTTGTAGATACTCCAGAAATAGGGTAGGAGGGGGTGGGAGGTTGGACTCACGAACCTTGAAGCACCCCATAACTAGGATGTTTCTTGGTTCTTGTGTGCCTAATAGACACGTAGAACAGATGTGTCCCGCAGATGCTTAGCATGGTTCGCTAGCGCTTTTGTAGGGGGTTATAAACCCTTCACATGCCTTCCTCACCCTATCTCCCATTTCCCGGGGCAGAAGTCCCTCTGGTGGACTGGCCAAGTCCTGAGACTCAGAGGTGAGACAGTGAGTGAGCCAGGCCCCCGGTCATCTCGAGGGGCAGCTCACGGCCCTGGAAGTGAAGCAATGTACTGTCTGGGCCAACACCATTGGCAGCTGGGGGCACCCGAATTTGAATGTGCCACCTCAGGTTTCAGGCCCAGTGAGCGTGGTTTGAATACAGACTCGGGCCTGGGGTCCGAATCCGGCTGTGCTATCATGTCCAAGTCACGAGTCCTCTGAGTCACTGTTTCTCCACCCGACAAGTGGGGATGATTCCTTTTCACATTTCTATAACACTTTATAGTTTTCCAAATGTTTTCTTCCCAAGTGACCAAGGGAACTAATACAAGTTATGTCCATTTTGCAGATGAGAAAAATGAGAATCGCATGTGAAGTGATTTGGCTGCAGACCTGTGGGAAAGAGCTAAAAATTGAACACAGGCCTACTGACTACAGTTCTTGGGTCCTAGAGAGGCCAAACTGGCTGTCCAACCTGTATCTGAGCTGCGCGCTCGTGTGTATGTGTGTGTGTGTGTATGTGTGCGTGCGTGCACTCAGGCTCGCATTTATGGAGGGGTGAATCCAGCTGCTTCTTTCTAGCCATTAATTATGGGATCATACTAACATGTACTTATCCAAGGTTGGGGACCCAGGACCACTCTGCTCGCTAAAGACTTCCTGCGAAATCCAGCCTGTCCCTGACTCCCAGGCTCCATCTGACCATTGTTCCGCTTCACTTTGGGCACAGCACCAGTGGCCACAGCTGCAGCCTGGAGAGCTGGTCACTTCTGTGGGGAAGAGGAGGGGATAGGCATCCTCTGCTTTGCATGCTTCTGAAAAAGCTTTCGTCCTGCCGTCTCTCTGTAGCTTCCTGCAGGCTTAGTGGTGGTGGGTGGGTGAGCCCAAGGCCTCTGAACCCACTGAGGTCTCCAGAAGGGCAGTGTCGATGGGGAAGAGGCCAGAGTGCTGGGGAAGGCAGAGGAGCTGACCTCAATTATGCTCACCACCGATGACCCCCTGCCCGTTGAGTAGGGCAGTGACCATCTGACGTGGTAACAGACACAAAATTAATCCAAGGCACAAGGCCATCACACCGAGAAGGATCTGGGTGACCTGTGAACAGAAGCAGACACCTGCTAAGCAGATGTGGGGCCTTGGTTGGCACCTGTTTTCCTAGGCATTGCACCCGTTATCCTTTGGTACCTCAGGAACGTCCAATCTCTGTCCCTCTGTAAAGGCGGAAGGAGCAAGTCTTTGGTTTTCTCCCCTCCATCAGAGTGACCTCTGAGCGAAGGGGAGGACAGAACTCTAACCCTGACTGCCCTGGGGATCCCAGCTCTCCTTCCAGGATCGCAGCGCGCCTCATATACAGCTTCATGGATTTCAGAGTTAGAAGGGACTTTAGAGAGCGCCGTTTCCCTGCCGAGAATCGCTCTCCCCGTTTTGCTTTCTCCTTTGCTTTAGTTTCACCTCATAGCTCACCCAGTAGGGTTTTGGGGGTCAGGATGCACATCTCTGGCTCAGCCCTCAGACAGGCTCCTTACCAGCTCCCTGAGAAGGGCCCATGGGCAGTTACTCTGCCAGCCCGTCCCTCTGTTGCCCTCTGCCGGAAACACCACCTTCTACCGTTGGTCCCTGCAGCCCCAGTTAACTTGATTGGATCCCAGGAGCCCAATGATCCAATTTCCCTCCGTATCTGGCTTGTATGAGAGCTGAGTGTGGCCTACAATCCAGGTTCTTCTGAGGCTGGACACATACATACATACGTATACGAAACTCCAGTATTTGATGCATGAAAGCTTCCAGTGAATGTGGAGGGCAAAGGAGGGCTGGTTGGATGTGTGTAGGGGAAGAGAGAGAGGTAGAGTGGTGCATAGCATAAGCAGGCTGTGGTGGATTACCAATGATGACTTGAGCCTTGTAAGAAGAAGGTATGTATAGTATACACTTCAAAGTGTAAAAGATGTCACCTGTGGGCATGGATGGTTGGAAAAGGAGTGAGGAAAAAACCACGTGCCCCTTGATAGGAGCAGAGCAAGAGCTACCCTGGCACTTCTGAGGAGAACTTTGGGAGAGGCCTTCAGTAGGTTGAGTTGATTCCCCCATCCTTGCACCCCAAGATGTATGGGAGGCCATGCACAAGAATCACAAAGGATGCATGATCTGGAGGAGCTACAGTTTACACCTTTAAAAAGAAAGTCCCTATTTAAATGAGATGAAATCATGGACAGGTAAGGAAAGATACACACACACACACACACACACACACACACAAGCAGCCAGGTGACACAGTGGTTAGAGTGATAGTCTTGGAGTCAGGAAAGTACCTGTTCAATCCTCTGTGCTACCCCTCCTGGCTGTGTGATCCTGCGTGAATGTGCCCTAGGCCACCCTCTCAGACTCTTCAGTTAGAATCAATATCAATCAGTGATCAATAAAAGTAAGAGCCTACTGTGTGCCAGGCTCTGTGCTAAGGGCTGAGCACAACAAAGAAGGTGGTAGAGGGAATTTCCTCACTGAAAAGCCCTCTACCAATAAAATCATTGTCCAACCAAGAGACCTTCTGAACCATCTCCAACCTCCTCACTTGATAAATGAGGCAACAGAACCTGCCCATTCATATCCTTCCTGTTAGGTCAGGGCCAGGATTAGAACTCAGGTTTTTTGGTATAGTGCCCTCATTCTACAAAGTTACTCCCATTAGGTCATCATGGGTTCTTAACCTTTTTTTTTTCTATCATGAGCCCCTTTGCCAGTTTGGTAAAATCCCCAGCCCCCAATCAGAATGTGGTTTTCAATTGTATAAAATTTATGGAATTACCTTGATCAGGCTACTTTCTGAAAGTTCATCAAGTCCAGATTACAAATTCCTAGGAGGAGGATAACAAGGTCTGAATGCAAATTGAAGAGCGGTGTTGAAATCCTGTTTCTGCAGCTGCGTGAGCTGGGGCAGATCATTTTGCGCACTGGACCCCAGTGTACTTCTGTATAAAGGAAGAGGCTTGAACCAGGTGATCTCCAAGGACCCTTCTAGCTCAAAGCTTATGATGACCCCAAGAAAACACTTACTGGATCATAGATTTAGAGCTCAAAGGGATGTTAAAATCATTTTGTCCAATACCCTCGTTTTATACTTGAGGAAAATGAAGGCCAAAGTATTTAAGTGACTTCCTTAAGGCTACAGAGAGGTTGAAAGAGAAAGGATTAAGACTCCATGGATTCCATTGAGACTTTTCCCAAGGACTATGGGTTCCCCCTTCAGGAATTTCTTCAGAGGGGCTTCAGGTTGAGGGGGGGATGCCAGCATCCCAGGCTCTTGGAATGTGGTACCCCCACCACTGAGGACCCATTGTAAAGATGCTGTTAGATGGCTCTTTGACAACCGTCTCATTGGACACGGTTCTAAAACAGAAAGACTGTGCATGATGGGATTAGTCACAGTGGCAAGGTCCTGTAGGAATCTTGCATGCCAGCTGTCCTTTGCAACCAAAGCCCATCTTTCTGAGGGAGTCTGCTGCCTCCATGGGTGTGCAAGTATACCTGAGAATATGGTGTGACCCTGCTCTTCATGTACCAGTGTCCCTCTGCGAATGGGACTTCCTGGAATGGCAGGGCAGTTGGGTCATAGGTCCTAAAATCACCGAGTTGAAAGAGATCTCAAAGGCCATCCAGCTTACCCATCTCTGAGCAAGAATCCCCTCTGGAGATTCCTGAGGGAAATGATGAAGGTAGTGTAGCAGAGCCCAGAGAGAGGGCTGGTCTCAGAACAAAAAGACCTTGGACACATTCAGACCAACCTCCTGGCAAAAATTGAAACCCATCTAATGGCACAACCCCATGTCACCATCGAAAGACTAAATGTACTAAGTCCTGCTGAGTTTTTAGAGACTATCCCTAGACTTGAAACAAATTAGCCTGTGAACGATGGTGAGTATAACCTTGCCTTGACTGTGTTACCATCCTAGACTCCCTGCTGACTCCAAAGGTCGCGCTCCAAGAGACACTCATCCCAGATGCCGACCTCGTGGTTTTCACAGATGGCTGCTGCCTAAGGAACCCGGAGGGAAAAGTATGGCATCACCATGGTAACAGGTATAGGAGTTGGCCCCCTCCCCATGCACATTCTGCATACCAGGCAGCGCTAGAAGCAGTGTCAAGGGCATGTGAGTTGGGAAAGGGGCTGAAGATTAACATCTACACAGACATCAGGTATGCCTTTGGGGTTGCCCATGATTTTGGAATGTTATAGAAGCAACAAGGATGCTTAACTTCTACCGAACAGCCCATAAAAAACAGTAATCAAGTCTCTGGGTTACTAGAATGTCTACTGCTCCCCATGCAGGTGGCCATTGTCAAAACTGCTGGCCACTCTTGTGAATCCACTCCTGAGGCCCGAGGGAATCAACTGGCTAAGGAGGCAGCTCTCACAACTCTGTTCCTGTAATGGTTTCCTATACCTCCCCCACGGCACTCCCACCTATTGATCTGGTAGCTTTAACAGAGGCTCCAGAAATAGCATGCCAATGGGAACGACAAGGGTGCACCTGAGCCTCTGAAGCAGGGCTTTGGAAACATGGACAGGAGGTTGTCCTCCCTGGCCAGCTACACCGGTCGCTGCTAAGCCACCTGCATGATCAGTGCCACTGGACAAACTTTATGAACTTTCTTCCCAGCACTGATGGGGAATATCTAAACAGTGGCTGAAGAAGTGGTGTCCAGATGTCAGTCTTGTCCCCTGTACACCCCATCCAAGCCCCTGAAGTCTCCCTGAGGCTGCTTCCTGCTCCCCTCCTTGCCCTCTGAGATCTGGCAGATAGATTTCATCCAGCTGTCTCTGGCCGAGAGTATACATTAGCCCTTGTTATGGCCTGTGTGTTTTCCAGTGGGGTGGAGATCTTCCTGTGTCAGCCAGCCACCTTGGGGGTAGTAGGAAAGGCCCTCTGTGAACACATCATCCCTTATCGGGGGGGTAGCACAGGAGGTTCATAATGATCAGAGAACCCATTTTACGGGGTAGAGGCTCAGAGCAATCCCGGTGGCCTGGGGAATCTGCTAGCACCTACATTGTGCTTACCATCCCTAGTCCTCAGGATTGGTGGACAGAACTAACAGAATATTGAAGGGACTACTAGGAAAATTGACCTCCGATTTCCAAGCACCATGGGTCAAGGTACTATCCATTCCTCTCCTTGCCCTCTGGTCATGGCCTGTGGGCAAGACCAAACTTTCCCTGTACTGGGTCGTCACCGGGAGGCCCATGCCCTTCACCTGGCCAGTCTCTCCCCACTTGCTTCACATTATCTTCAGGAATACTGCATTAGGCTTAGTCAGCAAATTCACCAGCTTCAAGACCTTATCTCTCAGGCTCATTTCCTAGGTTCTCTTGTGGCCAGCTCCCCTGGTGATTGGGTGTGTTGAAGTGTCACCAGCGGTGGAAGGGACCCTTCCAGGTACTGCCCACAACCTCTGCTGCCGCCACGTTCCAAGGAATAGACTCCGGGATCCATCTGTCACAACTAAAGATTGTCCCCGCTCTTAAGTGGGCGTCTGAGCTCGTAGGAGACCTTGCCCCCTGGTTCTGCAGGGGCCTGAAGCGGACAACATCTGATGCAGACAGCTTCCCCAAGAGTCTGGACGGGCCTGCATGGAGAAGAGCTACCTCCCCACCCGAGCCCCTTACATACTTAAGACTGGTTACCTCTATCTTTTGGTAGCTTTTCCTTGTTTTTACTTAGCTGATCTGTACTCCCATTCTGCCCCTCACTCCCCCCACCTTGGTAACCCCTTGTGGCCTGCTCTTCTGCATGCTTGCAATTGCCTTGCAGTGGCTGCCCATCTCTGCAGACACCGTCATGGGGGGAAGGGCAGCTCCTCCTCCCATCCCCCACTGACCCCCTGCAGAAGCTGGGCTAGGAGGCAGTCAGGCTGGTTAACCTGTCCAGCTGCTGGTGTAATTGACTGTCCAGGGGGCGCCTCAGTACAATCTATTTCTGGCCTTGTTGGGGATCCGTTCGTTTAGTAGCCCAGGTGAGGGTCTAAGATTCTCTGAGACAGGAAGCTCCAAAGAACCAATCCTGTTTCAAGACGCAGGTGAACCTGTCTGCTAAGGAGTCTGACGTTCTCCTTGGTGCACGCCCGGATGTGAACAGCTCTCAGGGCCCTGTCTTTTCCAGGGTAGGCCTCCACAGCCCCTCCTGCCGCCTTCTGTTCTTTGTCAAATCACTCCTCTGAAGCGCCTGTAGGGAACCTTGACCTGCCCATCGCAATTACACATTACAGAAGGGGATTCAAATTCAGTTTATGTAGCTCTGCCTAGTCCTTGGATTTTAGGCACCAACATGACCCAGGACACCCTTGACTCCTAGTTTTGCACAGGTCGATCTGCCAGAGCTGGTGCCATTCCCTGCACCAGTGATTGGTTTCTCATTAGCCACACATCCTTTGATGGGGCCTGTTTAAAACTCTGGCTCAACAAAATGGGAATGGAATAATTTAGTGGGATCTCCATCACGGTTACTGTTGGGCCAAAGAAAGGTACAGTCTTACCTCTGATGGTGTGACCGACAACTCTTGCCTCAACCCTTCCATGGGCATGATTCCCTGTCAGACCTCACTTCTGCACAACCATACCTCTAGAGACCAGAGCAAGGGCCTCTTTTCTTATCGAGGGTCCAAGGTTCAGTTCAGTAGGTCCCCAGGTTCCTTTAGGTTTTCCCTTACTTTGCCATTGTCACGGGGAATGTTCTTCTTGTGTGGCACATCTCTTTATCAGACCCTTCTCCTCCCCCCTCATCCCTCCTACAGGGCTGTACACAATCATTTGGGCTGTGCCTAACCTCCCTTACCTGCCAGGCAGTACCCCACCCAATACTTCTGACACTCCCAGGCTCTGAAACTCAGGCACTTAAATTTCTCCCACTATTATGGCTCTTGAGAATTTTCTGGCCTACAACATGAGAATTGGGAACAAGAGAAACAAGGAGTTTAATTGTACTCCTCTAACCCTGGAAGTAAAGGAAATACCCTCACTTCACACTCATCCCCTACCAAAGAAATTGCAAAGGACTTAACTCCAAAGTTTCTAGATTTGTAGAAGCCAAAGGGGTCACAGACTTGCAGAATACTTGTGAATGCACAATCAGAGCAGAGGAAAGTGGCACAGTGAATAGAGCACTGGCCCTGAATTCAGGAGGACCTGAGTTCAAATCCAGCCTCAGACACATAACACTTACTAGCTGTGTGACCCTGGGCAAGTCACTTAACCCCATTGCCTAGCCTCCCCCCCCCAAAAAAAACGGAGCAGAGGAAAGCCAGGAGCTATGAGGATGTCTGGAGTGCTGGGTTGGTGACATTAGCTTCAGATACATTTTCTCCAAGAATTATGGGCCACTTCTTGACTTTTTGTCCTCTTTGTGTTTGGATTTTTTACTTATCCTTTATATTACTTATTCAAGAAGAGAGCTGCCTTTGAAGTATCACTACAATCATCTACTGTTATCCTTGGCCGCCTCCTCTTGTCTCAGGACTAAAAGTCCTTAAAAAAATGGTCAGAGACATGGGCTGGGTTAGTTTTTCTTCTTCTTTCTTGTAAAGATATTGCTGCATCTTTAAGAAAAAAATAGCACATCCAGTTCCCTGTTAGTTCTTAGGTGAGGTGTCAGAATTTCATCAATCAATTTTCTGTCAAGTTTTTCTGAGCCCAGAGAAACATTGAAACATGTCGTAAAGACAAAGCAAATGGTAGGATGCTGCGCAACAAGGAATAATAGGGGATTGAATGAATAAATAACACCTCAAAAATTTCACAAAGAAAGTAGATTCCTGAAAACAGAGGATAACTACTGATACAGGACTACTTTCTCATTTTTATTATGTCTTATGAAAATCAACTACTGAGATTTACACAGTATCGCTAAAAGTATTTGAAGGAAACAATAAGACTTTGGCAAAAGTTTTCTTCCACAGACCATGAATTTACAGTTACATACTTGATGGAAAGGAATGAAAGACATAATAACTCTTGGCACATATGCATTGGTGACAAATCACTTTCTCAGCAAATTGATTGGGCCTTTTATATGTTCCAACAAGTTTCTCGAAGTAATGTCCAATTCATCCAATGATATTTGATAAATGTAATGACTGATATAACTCAGATACATAAACTGGGGAAAGATGATAGTTTCAATTTGGTAAATGAGAAATCACTGATTCAGAATGCTGGAGGGACTTATCAAAGCTTAGAATTGGACACCAGGCATTCATATCTTTAAATTCGTAGATTTTTTCTCACTATTATTTTAAATCATCATTCGTATATTAAATACCTGCCATAGGTAAGATATTTCAACCCGACTAATCTAATTCTACATCTATTCAGAAATCAGGCAATATGACTCCAGTTAAAAAGCTATTAGATTCAAATTAAACAGAGATGATATTAACAAAAATTGAAGGCATATATGCTAGATACATTTAAAATATTTTAGTAAGACTATAGGAGCCCAGGAGCTAGCTCCCTGTGATTGGTAAGGTAGAGCTTGAAAAGACCAGGCTGCTCAGCGACTGGATTTGTTTTTCAGTATGTCCAGGGTATTTCTGTCTGGCCTCAGAAGGATCACATAGCACTTGGGAGCGAAGATGCAAGTCAGAATCCCAGCACTGGAGGCCAAGATGGAGAAGACCTCCACAGCCACCATGGCCTTGCCCTTGGTGCTCTGATACATGGGCAGGAAGGATATCCAGACACTGCAGAACACAAGCATACTGGATGTCAGGAACTTGGCTTCATTGAAAGTGTCTGGCAGATTCCTGGCCAAGAAAGCCAAGGTGAAGCTCCCCAAGGCCAGTAAGGCCATGTAGCCCAGGACACAGTAGAAGATAAGGATGGAGCCCTCATTACACTGAATGACGATGAAGCTAGGCTCAGCGTGTGCATCCATCTCTAGGAATGGGGGATAGGTCCCAAGCCAGATGCCACAGAGACACATTTGGATTAGAGTACAGATCAAAATGAGAGAATAAGATGCTGTGGAGCCCATCCACCTCCTGAGCTTGCTGCCTGGCTTTGTGGCCTTGAAGGCCAGAACCACAGTGATGGTTTTAGCTAAAATGGAGGCAACGGCCACTGTAAACACAACTGAAAATGTGCTTTGTCACAGGAGACAAGTGGCGGTGTTAGGACGGCCAATGAAGAGCAAGGGGCAGAGGAAGCAGAGGGTGAGGGAGCCCAGAAGAGTGTAGCTGAGACTGCGGTTATTGGCTTTGACTATGGGAGTGTCTCTGTGCTTCACAAAGACTCCAAGGACCAGAGCAGTGAGGAGGGAGAAGCAGAGAGCTGCACAGGCCAGGGTCATTCCAAGAGGTTCTTCATAAGCCAAGAAGGTCACAGTCTTGGGGAGGCATCGATGTCTCTCACTGCTTGGGTACTGATCTTCAGGGCACTGCAGACATTGCTCTGCATCTGTGAACAAACAAAAAATAACTTCACTGTATCCCATTTAGACTGTAGTTTTCTATCTCCAATAAAGCACAGTTTTAGTCATTCCACACTGAGTTCAGCTTCATTTTTTACTCCTCCTCAGTTACAAGGACAAGAATTTTAGAGGTTGAATAGGACAAACACGTATTTCAGCATCTTCATATCTCCACATATGGATACAATAATATGCTGAAAGTATTGATTCCTTATCATAGGTCTATGAAATAAAAATTTAAACTGTCTATAATCCATTCCAATATTAAAACACCTACAATGAGCCCTAAGGGGTCACTTCATGGATAATCCTATATTTTCAGAATAGAAATGAGACATTGGAACCATTTCTTCAGTCATTTATTTCGTAGATGAAGGCCACCCATTAATAATAAATTAGAAGAAAAAGACTTTTTAATGTGTTTCTTTTAATGCAAAGTCATGATTCCAAATCTTCTGAGTTCTTATGGTACATGATTCTGTTTATGCAAATCAAACATTCTTCAAATAAAATAATTTCCATAAAAATTTGGATTTTTTAAAATCAGAAAATTTATTGTGCACCTATGACACTGGTTCCCTAGTTTTTATAGTTTAATAAGTGAAGATTTCACACCTGTCTCCTTCATATTTTCTACTTACTCATCAGTGTTATAATTTTATTGTATATGTATACATTACTCCAGCCTGAGGGAAAACTGCTATGACAGGGTCTATCTCTTACATATTGTTCATGCACATATATTTCTTTTGTTGTTTGCTGAACTTTTAATACATTATATAATCATTAACTTTCACGTTTATTTATGTATATGAGATTGGGCCAAATAGAGAAATACAGAGAGATACAAATGAGAGCATATGGAAATTGATGTTTTTCTGAGTTATTTAAATAATAGCAATTAATCAAATAGTAAGATACCTTAGAGATTATTCATTAGTCAACAAGAGGGATATCTTCATCATGTAAGCCCCTGAAGATTTTATTCAACCATGGCACTCAGTGAAGAAAAAGATTATGAAAAGCAAACACCCTAAAATATGGCCTTGAATCCTATGTACTCCACTTAAAGGTTACTGTTTGTCCTTTGTTCTCGAAGAGGACCATGTCATCAAGAAGTTGATGCCATGACATGCAGGTCAATCGGTTATAAGCGAGGGAGGGCTGTGCAGTCACCAACCTCACTTTCACCTCTGGAGCTGTCTGGGTCCAGTGGCCAGATAGAGATCAACACAACTGGAGGTGGCCCAGGTTTCAGAGGGGATCTTGGCCTTTTCAAGTTAAAACCAAAATATGCTTCATAAATAGCAGAATTGTGGAAGAGGGAAGTAGCTTTGTGTGAACCAAATAGTTTATATATCACTTATAGATACTGAGTACTTTTTTATTCTCTCTGTATTCCCAATGTGAAAACCTGATCCGGTGACCAATAAGTTGACATACTGCAGGAAGGCCTGGATCATATAAACAATGAAATTCTTGAGGTATGAACCATGGGAAAAAAAGGAAAGATGAAACTAAATGGAAAGATGTGCCAGAAGTTTATTTTTTATAGTAAAAGATTTGATGGATTTGATGAACTGAGAGCAGTTTGATCTATTGTAGAGTCTAAGGCAGACAGAAGATTGTAGCCATAGCCAGGAGCTGCACAGTTACACAGAGCTTGTGAAATGTGAAGTGTATGTCTTCATCATGGAGACTACCAGAAGACCAAATAAAGACCTTAATTAACCTGATACCAGATGAAGAGAATGAACTAATTGGAAAGGAACCACCAAGGAGGGGATCACTCCTGCTTCTAATGGTTTACCAGCAGAATTATATGAACCCTTAAAAAAATTAGTACCAATACTACAATCATTATTCTCAAGGATTCACACAGGGTATGCCCAATATATTTATGAGGCAAATAAAGCCCAATACCTAAACTAGAGAAGTGTAAAAACACAGGATATATATTTTAGTGTGATTACTGTTAAAATATTATTCAAAAATTTTAAATGAATTCTTGTCAAGTAGTCACCAGTGATTCCTCCAAGATGCAATTACTTCTGTGCAAGCTGGATTTATATTAAAGATGCAAGGATAGTGCATTAGAAAAAATGATGTTAAATTTAATATATCCAAAAGCAAAAAGTCATTCTATCAGATGCCAAAAAATTCTTTAACAAAGTAAAATAAATACTTATTTTGAAAACACTACATAAAGAAAAATGTAAAGAGGCACTTTTATATCATAATAATGCATCTTTAAACAGCAAAACTTGTGCAAAGACATATACTAGTATCTTTCTCTATAAATATTAGAATAAAGTGATGACAGATCTCCTCCTTATTAATTAGAGTACTACTAGAAATATTATTAAGAATATTAAGTTGAGAGAAATTAAATCATAAAGGTAGGAAAAGAAAAGGTAAAACTATCACTATTTTTGAATCACATGATGGTTTACTGAGAAAATCCTAGGGAATCAGCAAAGATACTAAGTGGGATAATTAACAGAATCATCAAGTAAACTACATAATAAATCCTGTAAAACTCTACATTTTTATATAATGGAAAATCTAAGAGGTTACAAGAAAAAAGGAAATCCTGCTCCAAATAACTGCAAGGTGCATAAAATATCAGAAAATCTATGGAACTATTCAAAATCCTTATATTCAGTTATGAAGAGCTCCTTAAAGAAATAAATAACTAAAATATCAAGAAATAGTCTATGCTCATGGCTTGACCATAACAATATAATAAAAATGAAAATAAAAATCTAGCAATTCCAAGAGGAAGAAGTAAAGAGTATTTGCAATACAGGAATGGAGGACTGCTGACAACAGGACATTATATTCAGTGGACTGAGAAAACTGCTTCAAGCTTTGGAACATAATGATTTACTGAGAAATGTGTGCCAATTACATAACAAATCAGAAGCAGACTTTCTCAGCTTTGATGCTGGACCTCAAATACACTGGAGGTGTGGGGATGTCAGATTTTTATACAGTATTTTGTGAGTCAAATTTGGTTGAGTCAGGATTCCAACCCCTAGGAAAATAGCCTTTCAAAAAAACTCCCTAGAGTACTCTCGTTAATCTTGGTTAACACCAAGGCATGTTTTCATTCATATTACCTTCAGAGGCCAGCCTCATACTCTCATTCTGAATTCATCTATACTTAGGTAATGTTTAGACTTTATGTTCTGGATTGTTAAAATTTCTCAAAAGAATAGGGAAGTAAAAGATTAGGTTTTAGATTAAATTTCCCCACAGGAATGGGAAACCTTACAATTGAGTGTTAAGGGTGGGGAAGCATTAGGGATTCCAGTAGTAGTAAAATACTGTTGGATTCTCCTCAGATAGATTGTTGGTATCATGAACCAAAGTCTGCTTCTTATAGTCACCGCAATGACCAAAAATCATATTGAATGAAAGATATTGAATAAGTGCAGTATATTTTAACTTTGAAATTTTATTTTGGTAAGTAAAAGTCCCTTCAGGTTAAGACTCCCAAAACTACAATTTCTATTACTTTGGGAGAAAGACTGTTCATCTTTAGGAACCCACCTGTCTGGTTGGAAATCTGCCCTTCAGGGCATGGGGTGCACTCAAAGCAGCAGATGGGCTGGCCTTCATGGACTGTCTTCTTGAATCCAGGGCCACAGCTCAGACTGCACGTGGAAGTTGGAGTCTGTGTTTCCACCATAGAAAGGGAGAAAATGTCACTGTAAGAATGACTGATGAAAGATAGATGCAATGAGATGATGATGACTTCAGATGTCTCCTATGGAAGACATTTAGAATAAAGTGTTTGCAATTCTGCAGGGCAAAGATGATCTAATTCTCAATGGAGACATTCTTCCTGTATTTCCATCTTCCACTCCAGATCATCATTTCCCCAAGGAACCTGTACAGATTGTCCACTAGGCATAATCAAACTACTTGTTTTTTTTTTAAACAGTAATATCTTATGGGCACATTTTCCCCAATGTACTAATATATCTCTAAACTGCACTCCATATTTGAATAAGTAATGCTGAAATAATTCATTGACCACATAAGTAGAAATATTTCTTTAATATCTTCCTTCAAATACCTATCTTCTGTGTTTTCATAAAATACTCTGAATGTTTCAGGGAATCATGACTTTAGAGAGTATACACTATAATGAACTAATTTAAGAGTTCATCTTGATTGAATCTATGTAAGAATGATATGATTTGATTGACTGATCTGGATTCTTTGACTGACATTTGAAGCCTCCTCTGGGGACCACTGAGAAGGGTGGGGTGGAATTTATCAAGTCCCAAAGACAAATCAAACTGCATAGATACATGTGTATGACATCAGCAGAAGATATTACCATAATATTTAAATTAAGAATCTCTAAAAGCCATTGTCCTTCTTGGGGACACAAACTCAGGAGTTATTTATATAGCTTTAGGATTCCAGATATTGGATAGTCTTTGGTGTAGTAGGTCCCTTTGGAGGGAAAAAGTTTTCTCCGTTCTCCACCCTACTGTTATTCTTCAAAAATAACTACTTGATTTGGGATATTTCAAGTTTCTTTTAGTACAGGCAATTCATATCATTATGTAACTTAGCTGGAAAGAATTTGAAAATAAGATAGAAAAAAAAGGAAATCAGAGCTCTTTCTTCCTCTTTCTTACTTCCTTACTGAGGACAGAGTCCTCAACAAGGAAGAGTAAGTGGATGCTAGAGCCCTGCCATAGCCATTTCCAGTGTCTTTGGGGAAATTCATGGTTCAATGGAAGGAACAACTGTGTCCAGGACTCTGAAGAGGCAAAGTGATAAAATTCACATCATTCACTGGCCCCATACCTGAAGGAAATCTTCTGGCCATTCTATGTATTCTACATTCATGCTGAAAGCCTGACCATGAGAGGTCACTTCACCCACTTTCACCAATGTCTCAATCTGACCACGGAAGAATTCAAAATTCAGGATATCATATGTCTCAGTCCTGGTTCCATCCCCACATGACGCTTCATTGACAGTGCTGACAAGACTAGCACACTTCAGGAAGTGATGGAGCTGAAGGCAAGGACAAGAATTTAGTAATCCTTGGGGAAAGAAAGGATTCATGCCCATGTTCTAGACCTGACTATCAACACAAAATAGGCTCTGAATTTGGAGCTTCCAAAAGTTGTCATTCTTTCTTTTCTTCAAATTGCTCTTGATCTCCTCTTAGAGCTCTGCATTCTTTTTCTCCTTTTCCATAGCAAACCATGGACAATAAAAGGATAACAAAGCCAGTAAACAATTATGTGATATAGATATTGAACTGACCTCAAAGATCATTTCAGCTTCAAAAGCCTTTTGCCAAATTAGGAATTTCTCCCAAATATCTCTGATGTCTTACATTCCAAGTTCTTTTCTAAAACCTGTGGTCACAGAGAATTCAATACCTTCTATGAGTAGAATCTGACCATTTCCTCCCCATTTGATTTTGAGGTTCTCAAAAACTGGGACTTTCTCTGCCTTTATTTGATCCCCTGAACTTAGCACATAGTGGGTGCTTAAGAAACGTGTACTCATGGTCTGATTTTTAGGGGTAATCCTACATCTTGTACAAAAGTCTCCTCAATTAAAAAAGTGGCCGGTGGAAGTCCCTATAGCAGTTGGTAAGGTAAACTTAGTGGGGCAGCTAGGTGGTGAAGTTGATAGAGCACCAGCCCTGGAGTCAGGAGGAACTGAGTTCAAATCTGATCTCAGACTTGACAGTTGACCCTTACTAGCTGTGTGACCTGGGCAAGTCACTTAACCCCAATTGCCTCAAAAAATAAGGTAAACTTAGGAATAAAGGACAGTTTGACATTCATAGTGATGCAATTCAAAGAAGAACTAGCAATTAAAAATGATTAAGAGACTAAATAATTTGGAAAGTTCAGTGATGCAAAATAAATAGAAAGGAGAATAATTTGAAATGAAGAAATTATGAAAGAAAATTGCATAGTGATAAACTGTAAGAAAATGAAACAGTACAATCTGAGGAAGATTTGAGAAGCAGAGGTTTCAATAAAAGCTAAAAAATTCTTTTGGATACACAGGAACTGCATGTCATTGTTCAATGGAAAATATTTGGTGGAACCAAGATGGCGGAGATAAGCCAGGAAGTTGCCTAAGCTCTCTTCAGTTTCCCTCAGAAACAATGTTAAATCAAGCCTCTAAAGAGATTCTGGGGTGACAGAGTCCCCAAAAAGGGAGAGTGAAAGAATTTTCCAGCTTAAGATACCTTAGAAGGACTTCAAGAAAGGTCTGTCTCATTTGGGTAAAAGGGGAGTCCAGCCCAGAACAGACAGTGTCTGGGCAAGCCAACTAAAGGCTCCTAGCCACAGCACAGATCAGTGAGGCCTCCACCCCAGTGCAGTGGGCAAGCTGCCAATACCTGTGACTCCAGAGCAGAAAGCCAGTGATCAGGGCCCAGGCCTCCAGCAAAAGATATTTGGGACAGTGTCCTGTGTGCTCCAGGAGCAGAACTCAACTTTAAAAGTCACAAAGGAGACTGAAAAATGAGTAAGAAGTAGAAAAGAACCCTGGCCATAGCTTCTATGTCAACAGGGAAAATCAAAGCACTAACTCAGAAGAGGACAACAATGTCAAAATGCCTACATGTGAATCCTCAAAGGGGAATATGAATTGGTCTTAAGAGCAAAAAGTCCTCTTGGAAGAACTCAAAAAGGATCTTAAAAATCAAGTGAGAAAGATAGAAGAAAATTTTGGAAAGGAATTGAGAGTTATGCAGGAGAATTATGAAAAAAGAGTCAACAACTTGGAAAAGCAAGCAGAAAAATTGACTGACAAAAACAAATCCTTATAAACTAGAATTGGCCAAATGGGGGGAAGATCCACTGAAGAAAACAAGTCCTTTATAGGTAGAATTGGTCAAATGACAAAATGAGTACATCCAGGAGCCAAGATGGTGGAGTAAGAAGTAAGTTGCTCTGACCCTCCCTTAATGACCTCTGAAAGCCCAGAAAATATCACCCCAAGAAATACCCTGGAACAGCTGAGAAAGCAGAAAGATGGAGTGCAGCAGTCTTCTAGCCCAGGAAGGTTGGAACGATTAATGGGAAAGGTCCCTCTTGCTCTGGGGGAGGGGAAGTAGTACAGGATGGTAGCTGTCCCAGCAAGCCAGTGGCAAGCCCCACCTCAGCAAACCAGTGATAAATCTTAAGCTCCATGGCTGTGGAACAGGCAAGCACCAACACCAGGGCCCACTGAGCGCCTCAGCAGAGGCAGGGTAAGGGGTAGACACAAACTGGGAAGATCACTACACGTGCCATCATTCTCCACCAGCCAAATCTCCAGGTGCTTCAGTACAACTACAGGAGGCACAACTCCAGGAGGCACAGTTCTAGGGTGGCAGACATCCTCCAGCAGCTAAACATTTGAGTGCAAGGCCTGGGTGAGCAGGCATCCCCCACGGCCCAGACTCCTGCCCCCCCACCCTGAGAGTTCCAGTGTTTCTGACCCTAGCTCAGCACCAGGTAAGCTGCCAGACCTCTATAGCCTCCAGCTGCCAGCACTTGAGGTCCCAGCACACAAAGCCAGTGACCAGGTCCCGGACTCCTAGCACAAAAATCTTGGGTCTTTCTCACAGTGCTCCAGCAAGAGAGTTCAACTCTAAAAGCCAGGAATTAGGCAAATACCACGAGCAAAAAGCAGAAATGGACAATGACCACAGATATTATGGGAATAGGGAAGATCAAGGCACAAATTCATAAGAGGACAACATTGTCATTGTATCCACATCTGGAACCTCAAAGGAGAATAAGAACAGGTCTCAAACCCAAAAAGCCTTCTTGGAAAAGCTAAAGAAGAATTTTAAAAGTCAAATAAGAGAAGTAGAAGAAAAATTGGGAAAAGAAATGAGAGGTATACGAGAGAGACTCAATAGCTTGGAAAAGGCAGGACAATAATTGACTATAGAAAACAAGTCCTTGAAAAGTAGAATTGGCCAAATGGAAAAGGAGGCATAAAAAAATCACTGAAGAGAACTCCTTAGAAAGTAAAATGGGCCAAATGGAAAAGAAGGTACAAAATCTAATAGAAGAAAACAATTCATTAACATTTAAAATTAGGCAAGTGGAAGTTACTGACTCTATGAGAGATAAAGAATCAGTCAAACAGAACCAAAAGAATGAAAAAAATAGGAGAAAACATAAAATACCTCATTGGCAAAACAACTGACCTGGAAAATAGATCGAGGAGATAAAATTTAAAAATTATTGCTCTTCCTGAAAATCATGATGAAAAAAGAGCCTGGACAGCATCTTTCAGGAAATCATCAAGGAAAACTTCCCTGAGGTCCTAGAACCAGAAGGTAAACTAGTCACTGAAAGAATACACCAATCATCTCCTGAAAGAAATCCCAAATTGAAAACACTAAGGAATATTGTAGCCAAGTTCCAAAATTACCAGGTCAAGGAGAAAATATTGCAAGCATTCAGAAAGAAACAATTTAAATATCATGGAATCCTAGTCAGGATTATGTGGGATCTTGTGGCTTCTACATTAAAAAAATTGGAAGGCATGGAATACCATATTCTGAAAGGCAAAGAAGCTTGAATTACAACCAAGGATCAACTACTCAGCGAAAATTGAGCATAATGTTTCAGGTGAGGAGATGCACATTCAGTGAAATAGGGGACTTCTAAAGCTTCCTGATGGAAAGACCAGAGCTCAAGAGAAAATTTGATCTTCAAATACAAAATTCAGGAGAGGCATAAAAAGGTGGACAGCAAAGAAAAACAACAACAACAACATTAATTAATAAGGTCAAGCTGATTACATCCCTACAAGGGAAGATGACACTTGTAACTCTTGAGAACTGTATTGTTATTATGCCATTTAAAAGGGGTAACCATAGGCAGAGGGCATGGGTATAAGTTGACTTTGATGTCATGATAATACATCTAATTAAGTGGTAAAATGTGATTGTACTGGGAGAAGAGGAAAGGAGGAGGCAGACAAAGGTAAATTGCATCACATGAAGAAGCACAAAAACCCATTACAGTAAAGAGAAAGAAGGGGGAGGGAAATGAACATTATTTGAACCTTACCCTCACCAGATTTGGCTCAAAGAGGGAATAACATGATCAGTTAGGTATAGAAATGTGACTTACCCTATAGGAAATAGGAGAAGAAAGGGGAAAGAAAAGAGAGGGGGTAGATAGAAAGGAGGGAAAAAGCAGTAAGGGTAAAGGGAAAGGAAATGGAGGGGCCTTATAGAAGGGAGGGCAGACTGAGGGAAGCATTGGTCAAAAGCAAAACTCTAGTGAGCAGATAAAGGAAGAAAGGAGAGAGGAAAGTGTAAGTGGGGGAGGGGGAATAAGATGGAGAGAAAGACACAGATAGTAATCATAACAGTGAATGTGAATTGGATGAACTCTTCTATAAAACAGAAGTGGACAGCAGAATGGATTAAGAACCATAATCCTACAATATGTTTTTTTCCCCCCAAGAAACACATTTGAAGCAGAAGGATACACACAGAGTAAAAGTGAAAGCCTAGAGCAGCATATATTATGCTTCAGCTGAGGCAAAAAAAAAGAAGCAGGGTTAGAAATCCTGATCTCCGACAAAGCAAAAACAAAAATAGATATAATTAAAAGAGATAAGGAAGGAAACTACATTTTGCTAAATGGTGCCATTGACAATGAAGTAATAACATTACTGAACATATAAGCACCAAGTGATATAGCACCCAGATTCTTACAGGAGAACTTAAGGGAATTACAGGAAGAAATAGGTAATAAATCTATACTAGTGGGGGATCTCAACCTCCCCCTCTCAAACCTAGGTAAATCTAAGTATAAAATAAACAAGAAAGAAGTTAAGGAGATGAAAAGAATTTTAGAAAAGTTAGATATGTTTGACCTGTAGAGAACATTGAATCAGGATAGAAAGCAATATGCCTTTTTCTTGGTAGTACAAGGCACCTACAAAAAAATTGACCACATATTAGGGCATAAAACCTCACAATCCAGTGCAGAAAGGCAGAAATATTAAATGCATCCTTTTCAGATCAT